ACGCTAGGCGCCAAGGGCGCCTAGGCGCCGATTTTTTATTTTTTATTTTTTATTTTTTTTTAATTAAAAATAAAATTTAAAATTTAAAATTTTGAAAATTTAGTAATAAAACATAAGGTTTCTATAGTTATTTGTTAGAAATTATTTACGAAAGTGGTTGTAAAAGTGTTCAAAAGATTGTTTAAACCATCTAAATACATAAAAAACTAAAATTAAGAGCTAAAGAAGCATTTTTTTGAGAAATTAGTGGACCAAAATTGTCCAAATCGGACAACCGAGTCAAAAGTTATGTCTTCCGAAACTTTTCCGACATTTTCAAAAAAAAAAAAAAAAAAAAACCGCCGAACCGCCGAACCGGCCGGTTAGGCGGCCGCCTAGACCGCCTAGCTGGCCGGCCGCGGAGGCCGTTCCTCGCGGCGGCGCAATGGCGCCTAGCGCCTAGGCGCCGATTAATCGGCGCCTAGGCGCGATTTTTGCAACATTGGTTGTGATGGATTTCTCCATGATGGGAAATGTGATATGATTGGTGGAAATGATTTGTTGGACGTTAGCACAACGAGTGGTCGGTCATTGTGCTATAGGCACAGACCACCCTTGATTTGCTTGCTAAAGGTATGGATCAAGTTATAAGCGCTGCGATGTCATGTCTTTGTGCTATAGGCATAACCCCTTGATTATTGTGCTATAGGCACAGATCATGTGTTAATGGTACTGCGGCGTTATCAAATCGGTGGATTTGTTGGAGGCAGGTCGGAGGGGAGCATGCGTGCTCCGGAGGGATAAGGGAGGCGTTATAAGGGTGGCTTGGAGGTACAGGTTGGAACTAATATAAGGATGGAGAGGAGTGAAGGTTGGAACTTGGTATAAGGTTGGATGATGGATGTACTCTCTATTGAGTACTTGTTATGACTGATTGTGGTTGAACCCCATTGTTGTTGTTGTTTGTTATTATTAAACCTTGTTGTTATCTTATCTTGTGAGCTTAGGATGCATGCTAGTATTTCTATGGTGTTCATAATGTCAACTTGTCGTTGTGTCTTGAGTCTTGGTCTTGGTTTTAAAGCTAGTGTTTCTTAGGATTATATATGTATTCCAGTCTCAAAATGATTTTCTATATTTATACTTATTGTACTCAACGCGTGGGAGTGGGTTACTCAGCATTATTCCCTGACGGTTGTTACATCGGATGTTTTTCAGGTACTGATGAGTAGCTTCGGAGCGCGATAGATAGACTTATGGATTTTGCTTAATTAGTGCTAGTCGTAGTTAGATGGCCTGCGTGCCTTGATTTGTATTAGGATATTAATTGTGATTTATGCATTGTTTTGTTAGTTTAGCCTGTGCATCTGAGTTCTTAAGCTTAGATGTGGCATAGCACCCCGACTCTTATGATTAGTTATGCTCTGTTTAGGTTTCAATGTTAGATTCACCTTTATTTCGTAAGTTTAAAATGTTTTAAAAATTAGGGGTGTTACAGTTGGTATCAGAAGGCATTAGAACCCTATTACCCATATCTCCCTCTCCCCACACGAAATCCTCTCCCAAGAATATAGTCAAAGAATTCCCCATCACAGGCTTAGGGAGGATCGATTGAGGAAAGATCTTAGGAAGTGGTGAGAAGTTTAATTAAGCTAAAAAGGTACCTCATGTCTTACAAAACCTATTTTCTTTGATATCTTTTATTGATTGGCATCGTTGAATGATTGAATGCATGATTTTGTATTTATGCTTTGTTAGAGCTTGTCTTTAGGAATCTGTGATATGGATTATTGTTATTCCTGATATTATTGGTGGCCCTGTGTGGTCTTGGTATGTTCTTGTATTTAATTGTGTTTGTGATGCGGCCCAACATAATGAAGATCCATCAAGAGTACCAATTGGGCCAATCACAAGGCCCAAGTCCAAACGATTAAGACAACTCTTCATTGGTGATATTCAAAGATGGTGGAAATCCAAGTCAAGCCCATTTGCAAAAGATGAAGAAGATTTCAAGGCTTTTTATAATTGTTTAAGTGCTGATTTTGGTGATTAGATTAGGCCCAAATCAGCCCTATTATTTTTGGTCATCATTAATTTAAATTGTTTGGCATAAAAGAGAAAACACTAGTTGTATTTAGAAAGGATTCCTTAAATCCTTTTCTAAATAAAACTCTATTTACTTGTTTTCTAGATTAGGTTTAGGACTCTTTTTCCCATTGTATTTAGATTACAATGTTGCCCTATACCTATAAATAGGGCACATCCATATCAGTTTTAAACATGCTTTAATTCAATAAAATTCTTAAGTTTTTCTTTACACTTGTGTAAGAAACCTTATGGCTAATTGTGGACTCAATTAGTGGCTAGTCGTGGACTCGACTAGCAAAATTGATTCGTGGACTCGAATCAATCTTACTTTCTTCAACCTTAGATTTAGGTTCGTGGACTCGTTCTTGAATCGAAGGAAACTAGATCCGACTCTAGTTGATTGAAGATTGCAACATCGAGGTACTTGAAGCTACATGAGATTCTTCAAAGTCTTTGAGGATTCGGGATTAAGGGTTTCTCGTGAGGTTTAAGGTATTTTGATCCATCTCTATCTTTACTTTTGAGAGCATTCTTGGGACAATACTCCATCTTATTTGAATCTTGGATTATGTTCATATTAGTTTAGAGCTTGTCCCTAGGGTTTATATTGTAAATCTTGTTGTTATGATGTTCTTGATGTTCTTGGGTGGGCTTATGCATGCTCGGGTGTTGATTCAAGGTTAGGGCTTGCTTTTAGGGTTTTTGCATCTAGATTTCTTGAGAATATTGCGGTTCTTGATGCCTTTGGACCGTTATGTGACTAATATCGAGTCTTGGCATGTTTAGGGATTGTGTTTAGGGCATAATTGTGGTGTTTCTTGGTTTAATTCTTGTTGTTCGAGTCCATAACGTTGTTGATATGTGTTGGGATATGTTTGAACTTGATTTTGGGTTTAATTGAAGAATTCCTGAAGGGAGAAAGTGCCGTGTTACCATCGTACCAGCGGGGGGTCGGTGGGGTGACGAGTCCCTACCTGACCACCCTCCGGTTACCGTACCTGTATCAGCGGGTGGACGGCCACCCGCCATGTACCCGCTGGTACAGTGCCGCCCGTCGGCGGGTGGTCGTACCACCCGCTGGTACGGGCGGGGCGAAGTGTTGTTTTACCCCGTTCGTTGTTTCCAGTGCCCCGTTGTGCCTCGGTTGATGTTTATGAGCCTTGGGTGATGTTTCAGAGTACCATTTTACGAGTTATGTGTGTCGTGGTTATTGTTGTACTTGAACCTTGCTTGTTGTTGCTGTTGAACTTTGATTATCGTTGTTGATTGAGTGTTATTGCTCGTTGTTACCACAGTGCACCGGTGGTTGTGATGAATTTTTCCATGATGGGAAATGTGATATGATTGGTAGAAATGATTTGTTGTCGGTTAGCACAACGAGTGGTCGGTCCTTGTGCTATAGGCACAGACTACCCTTGATTTGCTTGCTAAAGGCATGGATCAAGTTGTAAGCGATGCGGTGCCATGTCTTTGTGTTATAGGCATGACCCTTTGATTATTGTGCTATAGGCACAGATCATGTGTTAATGGTACTGCGGCGCTATTAGATCGGTGGATTTGTTGGAGGCAGGTCGGAGGGGAGCATGCGTGCTTTGGAGGGATAAGGGAGGCGTTATTAGGGTGGCTTTGAGGTACAGGTTGGAACTAATATAAGGATGGAGATGAGTGAAGGTTGGAACTTGGTATAAGGTTGGATGATGGATGTACTCTCTATTGAGTACTTGTTGTGATTGATTGTGGTTGAACCCCATTGTTGTTGTTGTTTGTCATTATTAAGCCTTGTTGTTATCTTATCTTGTGAGGTTAGGATGCATGCTAGTATTTCTATGGTCTTCATAATGTCAACTTGTCGTTGTGTCTTGAGTCTTGGTCTTGGTTTTAAAGCTAGTGTTTCTTAGGATTATATATGTATTCCAGTCTCAAAATGATTTTCTATATTTATACTTATTGTACTCAACACGTGGGAGTGGGTTATTCAGCATTATTCGCTGACGGTTTTTACACCGCATGTTTTTCAGGCACTGATGAGTAGCTTCGGAGTGCGCTAGACAGACTTATGTATTTAGCTTAGTTAGTGCTAGCCGTAGTTAGATGGCCTGCGTGCCCTGATTTATATTAGGATATTAATTGTGATTTATGCATTGTTTTGTTAGTTTAGTCTGTGCATCTAAGTTCTCAAGCTTAGATGTGGCCATGGTTGCAGTAGGCGCTAGGCGCTAGTCGGGCGCCCGGACAGCGCCTAGCGCCTAGGCAGAATCTAGGCGGCGCTAGGTAGGCGCCAAAAAAACAGTGGTAGACTTGCAGTTTGACAATTTTAATGAGGTTGTTTTCAACATTTAATCAAATAACACATCCATATAAATGAATTAATGATAATTCATAAGTCATAACATCAAAACAATGGTTTTCAGAAAAGAAAAAAAAAATATTAAAACAATATTGAAAATTAAAAATACTCAAATATGAAATACTCAAATATGAAATACTCAAATACTTCAATCATCCAAAGATTCAAAGTATCAAACTAGTCTACGAGTGTATATATGTCATATTATATATATGTATGCGCGCGCGCACACATACATACATACATACATATATATATATATATATATATATATATATATATATATATATATATATATATATAATAAAAAAAATAGGTCGAGCCTATCAGGTTAACTCAGCCGAAATGGACGAGTTAACTCGACTAACTTAGACGCTAGGCGACCATTTAGAACCCATCAAGGGCTGTATGAATTAAAGGTCATGCCATTTGGCCTAACCAAGGCCCCAGCCACCTTCCAAGCTCTAATGAATTGTGTATTCAAACCCTTGCTAAGGAAATTTGTACTAGTCTTTTTTGGTGACATTTTGGTTTACAGTCCTGACTTGGGAAAACACTGGGGCACCTTAAAGAAGTTCTGATTATTATGAGGCAGCATAAGTTTCTTGCAAAGCTTAGAAAATGTTCATTTGCAAAAAGTGAGGTTGAATATCTAGGCCACATCATTTCTGAAAAAGGACTACACACTGATCCCTCCAAACTGCAAGCAGTGGCTGAATGGCCTAAACCAGTGTCCATCAAAGGGTTAAGAGGGTTTATGGGATTGACTGACTACTACAGGAGATTCATCAAAGGGTATGGAGTGATTAACAGACCCTTAATTGGCATGTTAAAGAAGAACTCATTCCAATGGGGTGAGGAGGTTGAGCATGCTTTTGAACAGTTGAAGCAAGCCCTATGCTTAGCACCAGTGTTGGCCTTACCTGATTTCCAAAAGCCTTTCATCATAGATGCTGATGCTTGCCACAAAGGGATGATGGCAGTTCTGATTCAAGAAGGAAGGCCCATAGCCTATTATAGCAAAGCTTGTGGGGATAAGCACCTAGGCTTATCAATCATGAGAATGAGTATATGTCTATCTTAAATGTTGTGGAAAAATGGAGATCATACTTGCTAGGAAGACATTTCATCATAAGGACTGACCACCACAGTCTCAAGTTTCTGTTGGAGCAAAAAATCACTACTGCCACTCAACAAAGGGGATTGTCAAAACTGCTAGGGCTCCATTACACTATCTAGTATAAAAAAAGCATAGACAATTGTGTTGCAGATGCACTATCAAGAAGGGGAACCTACCAGGAACCTAAGTTAAACTCTATACTCTCTATTAGACCACAGTGGATTGAGGAGGTCATTAATATCTATGAAGGGGATGAATATCTCAAGATAAGCTCACAGCCACACTTATCAGCCCAGGCAGTGCTCCCAATGTAACAGTGGTGGAAGGATTGATAAAGTACAAAAATAAGATATACATTGGCTGCAAAGGGGAACTCAGGGGTAAGCTGATACTACAGATGCATGACTCACCCCTAAGGGGCTATTCAGGCCAACAAGGAACCTACAAAAGATTAAAATCCTTGTTTTACTGGAAGGGAATGAAACAGGAAGTGGAGGAATTAGTAAGACATTGTGACACCTGCCAGAAATGCAAAACTGAATGCATAAGCCCCCTGGACTACTGCAGCCACTAACCATCCCTGACCAAGCTTGGAAGGAAATCTCCATGGATTTCATAGAGGGATTGCCTAAATCCCTGGGAAAGGAGGTAATCCTGGTAGTAGTAGACAGGCTTACCAAGTACAGTCATTTCATTGCTTTGACTCACCCTTATTCTGTTCAGATTGTGGCATTGGCTTTCATGGAAAACATCTATAAACTACATGGGCTACCTGGGGATATTGTCACTGATAGGGACAAAGTATTCCTTAGTAAGTTTTGGCAAACAATCTTTAAACACCTGCAAATCAAATTGAGTATGTCCACTGCCTACCATCCCCAATCAGATGGCCAAACTAAGAGGGCCAATAAGTGTCTTTAAACCTACCTGAGGTGTATATTGTTTAACAAGCCAAAGAACTGGGCTAAATGGCTACACATGGCAGAATACTGGTATGATACCCGCCTGAGTTGCAGACGAGTCCGGGCAAGCAGACAAACTAGGCGGCCAAGATACTTGGGGAACTTGCGTTCTTTTTCCTTTTTTTTTTTTTTTTTTTTTTTTCCTACTTTTTCAGGTTAAGCTACAACCTAAAAAAGTGAGGGACTGGTGATATATACCCCAAATCTGCCGCCTGGATAGAAGGTCAGACAAGGCAGCCAGACTTAGAGATGATTCACTACTTAGCAGGGGGTAGATCGCCAAGGGCTTCCCAGCCCTAACGCGAAGCGCCTTACGGTGGCCGCCGAGCGCTCCCATATCGGCCAACCCGCCAGCCGGCGTATCTACGGACGGGCTCGCAGAAGAGATACGGTCAGACGACCAGTTACGTCGGGCGGCGCGCCTTTGATCAAACACTTTCCTGGGACCTGGCTGGCCGACTAGGCCCTACGGGCGGGATGTCATTATCCAGGGGCAAGTACCCACGAAAGCTCTCCGCGCATTCGGGACCATTCCTGGCCGGGCGCGCCCCAATAACGCGTTGTGCGGATTCTACGAAAGCAATCCTTGCGCATTAGGCAGCTTCATTATTTAGTTCATACGGAAAAAGTAGTAAGTTAACAACACGTCAGCCCTTACGCTTCCCCTATTAGGTTAGGCTTTACGTCAACCCTACTTACCATATGCGAACTCCGCATAATGTATAAATATCCCCCCGGGATCATCATGTAAGGGGCTTTTGGGTCAGCACTTGGAGGGCCAAAACCCTAGAGAAATAACATCGCATTATTCTCTCTCTATTAACTCATCTTTATTTTCACTATCTCCCAAAAAGATCTTTACTTTATTTCGGTAGTGTTGGCCTGCCGAGCAGCCATCAGGGTTGTACAAACCAACATTGGCGCTGTCTGTGGGGATCGAAACTAAAGGTCCCGTTCTCAAGCTTTACCGATGGCGCGAACCAGACGAAGTAACCGCAACACCGGTCCCAACGCCAGCGTTGCGCCGGCCAATGGGCAGGTGACAGTTGTCGCGAATCCATCATAATTGCCTGCCGGCAGCCGCGCTCCCACTAGTGACCTGAAGGAGTAGCTAAATCGTCGCGCTTCCAGAGAACAGTCGGCTGCACGTACCACGCGTACTGTCGCGCCGACCCCTGCACCATTGGGTGTGAATCCGCCCGCGCCGGCCGCTCTTTCCCAAGCCAACTTCGCGGAGTTGATCGAGCAAGACTTTGACGTGTACGTGCGCGGGTGAGGTCAAGCACCCCTAGGCGAGGTTCGACAACTTGTACGATCGGCACCTGTAGACAACCCCTGGGCAGAGCTCGAGCGTTCAGAGCACTCGGGGAACCATCCGCCCGTTGATCAACAAGCAAACCGCTCCGCGCACTCCAGACTTGGACCCGCGGCCCCGGCGCGGTCGGTCTTGGAGCGCCTAGGCGAGCGGACAGGGCAACACCTACCCGCCCGGTCAGCTAGGGAGCAGCCGCGAGCCATTATCCAAAGGAGGTTGGCCGAACGGTAGAGGCTAGAAGCTATGGAGGGGGTGGAGGAGTCCTCCACTCCGCCGGGTCCCGGGAACCCCGAAATGGCCGGTCTACTCGCCGCCGTGCAAGAGATGCGACAGATGGTGGAGGGGAGAGACAAACTAGTCACTGACAGCTTCTTGACCGCCTCGCCCTTCTCAGCGCAGGTGCAGGCTTACGGGCACCGACTGGGTTTAAGTTGCTCGTTCATCCTACCTATGACGGCACAGGGAATCCACGCGACTAGGTCTTTAGCTTCTAGGCCAAAATGCAAGTGATATGGGCCGACGCCCCGATGATCTGCCAGGCATTCTTCCCGACACTGACCGGACCGACCCAGAGATGGTTCCTCAGGCTCCCCCCGGGATCCATCAAAACCTTTGAGGAGCTGACAACCCAGTTCTTGACACACTTCGTCGGGAGTATGAAGCCTAAGCGATCTGTCTTGGACCTGGCCAGAGTGCACCAAGACGAAGGGGAAAGCTTGTGCAAGTACATCGCGCGGTGGCAGAAGGAGGCGCGGGCAGTAGATGGCCTGGATGACCAGACAGCCCTAATGTTCTTCATCGAGTCCCTGAGAGCGGACAGACACTATAGCCGGTTAAGGGACGAGAATCCCAGAACATAAGCTGAGGCCATCCAGCGGGCTAATCAGCTGGCCAACACCGATCAGGCGGTTAGGCAAAAGGGCAAGCATGAAGTATCTTCTAAGAGACCCCGGGCAGATAACGCTCGCGAGCGGCGAGCGGCGGAGGAAGGCGGTACCCGTGTGAGAGCCTGCCGAATCATGGATCGGCTAGGAGCTCCGCCCCCCCGACCAATGGCACAGCCTGTCCATGAGGTCCGCGCCCCGTTGCCTCCGCCTCTGCCCATCAGGCCGGGATATAGGCCCCAGGTGGTCGGTACGAACGCCCCGCCTTATTGCCGGTACCACCGCACAAGAAATCATTCCACAGAAGAGTGCAAGGGTTTGAAGGAAGAAATTGAGGCGCTCATTAAGCGTGGCCGGCCGTTGCCCCCTAACCAGTGGCGTAGGCCAGGTTCCACCAAGCAGAAGGGGGCGGCTAAGCGAGATGGAGCGAGGACCGAGGACAAGGGTAAGCAACCCCTGCGAGAGGAGGATGGAGATCGGAATTGGAGGCACAAGCCGGTGACAAACATGATTGTGGGCGGCCATGAAGGAAGCGACTCTGCGAGAGCTCGGAAGGCACATGCCCGGCAGCTATACGTGGGTGCGATAGCCTTCCAGGAACTGGACCACAAGAAGATGTGCAGGGAGCCGATTGTCTTCACAGACGACGACCTGCCCAGAGGCCCCGCGTCGCATCGAGACGCCTTGGTTATCGCGATGGTCATCCAGGGGTCAATCACTCGGCGCATGTTGGTCGATACGGGCAGTAGCGTCAACGTATTATATTGGGAAGCTTTCCAGAAGTTGGGCTTGCCCCGGGAGCAGATGTGACCAGTCAGGACCCCCTTGGCTGGGTTTACCGGGGACGCAATCATGGCAGATGGGTGCGTCTCTTTGACCGTCGAGCTAGGCACTTGGCCTCAGGTGAGAAGGATGGAAATGGATTTTGTCGTCGTTGCTCTGGAGTGCGTACACAATGTTATCCTCGACCGACATGGCATAGAGGATCTGGGAGCCTTGATCTCCCTCGACCATCTGTGTATGAAGTTTCGCACACCGATTAGCGTCGGAGTGGTGCGATGCGATCAGAAGACGGCTCGCAGTTGCTACCTGCAGGCCTGTCGAAAAGTAGGGCAGAGTTATGACCGAGTGAACACTATCGAGCACCAGGTGTCTAGCTGACCGACAGAGCTTTTGACACCAGCGGTTGAGTTGGAGGAAGTCATCCTAGAGGCTGAGCATCCCAACAAAGTGGTCCGGGTTGGGAGTGGCCTACTTACCGCTGTGAAGAAGGCAGTCCTGGCGATCCTAAAGGAATACAAAGAATTATTTGCATGGTGGCCCGAGGACATGCCGGGAGTTGATCGATCAATAATAACTCATCGGTTGGCGGTCGACCCTGGCCTCAAGCCTGTGGCTCAAAAAAGGAGGCATCTGTCAAACGACCACAGGGAATTTGTGAAGAAAGAAGTTAACGCGCTGCTAGCCGCAAGGCACGTTCGGGAGGTCAAATACCCCAGTTGGTTGGCCAATGTGGTGTTGGTGCCCAAGCCGCTGGCGTGGAGAATGTGCGTCGACTACACAGACCTCAGCAATGCGTGCCCAAAGGATCCGTTCCCTCTGCTTTGGATCGACCAGTTAGTCGACGATACGGCTGGATGCGCCCTGCTTAGTTTCATGGATGCCTTCCGCGGGTACCATAAGATATTCATGCATGAATCCGATGAGGAAAAGACCACCTTCATCACCCCGGACGGGGTATACTGTTATAAGGTAATGCCTTTCGGTCTCAAAAATGCTGGAGCTACTTACATTCAGATGGTG